AAATTGCTGCCAAAAAAAAGATGCTAAATTATTATGACGTTTGCTTTGAGAATGATCTGAGTAAACACCGCATTCAGGAGTGATTCTCTCGATTCCGCTCTGGAAATTTGGATATTAAAAATGTGTCTCGCTCTGGTCAGCCAGAAATTCAAAAATATCAATGAAAAACCAAAAGCACTAAACATTAAACGCATGACAATTTGAAATCATTTGAGAAGAACAGGCGCCGCAAATATGCTATATGTTTGAGTACCACATGATACAATTACCAACAGTGAAACGCTGCTGTAACGTAACGAAATCTTCATAAACTAAATCATTAAGGACAATAGAAAATGGATTAAAGACGAAAATATCTAACGCAAACAATCCTCTACGAACAATGCAAAACCCTGTGGATTGGTGACAAACAAGATTATAATGATTGAAATAAAAGTGTGATTGGAAGGAAAATGCCTATTAAGAGTTGCTCAAGCCTAGGTCAATGATTAATTCGGCTCTCTACTGTTCATAACTGAACTGTTTAAATAAAATTATCAAAAAAAAAGCCGCAAAAAAGAAGTTGTGATTCATCAAGACAATACCAGGCCACACACATCTTTAATGACTTGGAACAAATTAACGAAACTGGGTTAGGAAGTTTTGATGCATCCTCCATACAACAGATATCATTGCATCATCTGACTACCTTTGATGAGATAGTTTCAATCTCAATCTCATCTTTCAATCTCAAAAACAGCAAAATACTCTTTGTTGTTAAAAATTCGCCGTCCGAAAAGCCATAGCAAATCACTTGATCAAATTTTTTGGTGATGAAACATAGAAGTTCTATAGAACTTAGAATAAAGTTTGTATTCTAAGTTTTGTTTGCCAAACATGGAAGAGGTCATATATAATAATGACCTATAATTTTTCAAATATGTACCAAAAAATTACTGATTCTAACCAATATACAATAAATGTATATTCAATTATAAGCTGCTTCACAAAAATGATTGATTTATAAGCTGACATCTCAAAAATGATTTCTAAGTACAATCCGCAAGGTTTTGCTCGGGTTGATCTAGAGTAATATGGGTACAATCGCTGAAAACCCAATATAGTACCATTAACTGAAAAATGTTACTTTGTGCAGAATAGTAACCGAGGATACAGACTTTTTGTTTGCAAATTATTGGCAGATGGGTTTTTTTAATAGTTCTTTTATTGTGTATCTTATGTGTATTTGTATATAAATTAGAACTACTACCAATAATAAAGATTTTTTGGTTACTAAATATGATGCAACTATTTCGTGATATAAGCATAGTTTCATACTATTTAGCAAAACAATATTTGATTAAAATTTATGTAATTAAATTAATTTTAATCACATAAATTAAAATTTATGTGATTAAATCTTTTAAATACATATATAAAAATATATGCTATAATGTGATCAATTAAAAACGGTTTACATAATTTTGCTTTCAGTTACTGATCAATTGAATAATTTTAAAATAATTTTTGAAGCGTTTAAACGCATATTGATAAAAAAAACTATTTAATTTTACTTAATTGCAATTTTACTGTTACTTAATTAAACTGTTTTAAACACCTGAAAAGACTTCCTATTCAATTCATATTTATTAAATATTCCAAACTCTACATGAATCCAATATGGTGCATCTAAAAACCTTTCTACATAATAAAATTATTTTATTGCATTTCTTCTTTCATTAAAGTTAAAAAATTATGTGATTTAACACAAGCAAATATACATACATACATTCATATATATGTAACACAATTACTGCATTTCTAATAAATATAACAATCGCTTCAAATGCACTTCATTAAGGTTTTTATTTATGCCAGATACTTTTATTGTTAAACACATTTTAATATAGTAATTTTTTTTTTTTTGTAATGTTAGTTAACATTTCCTTATAATCCTTAATGCAGAGCGGTTTTCTTTAATACTTTTGATTGTTTCCTCCTCTTAATCATAATTTCTTTAATAATATTTAATTCGCTCTCCAACTCCTCTGCACAAATGTTAATAATATTAATAAAAAAAACAACACGCAAATGTGCGCAAACGCAGCAACAATTCAAGTGCGGGTGTACAAGTGTGTTTGGTTCGGGACTGAGAGACCGACCTTCTGTCATTTATGGGTACTTAACATGCGCACCGCATCCCAGAAAACCACAGAAAAATTATGAATAAAAAGAAAATTAAAATTAAAATAAAAATAAAAAGGAAATCAGAAAACGTTACTCATTTGACATTTCAAACTGTTTACATAATAACAGGAAGTCAATGTTTGTATTTTTATTATTATTTTTTTTTTTTTTTGGTTTTCTGCTGCATGTTAACATATTGTTTATTATTAAACAAACTGAATATTAATAATATTGCCTGATGTATTTAATAAATTTATTAGCTTTAAGGGCCTTCCTAAAAATTATTAACATTTGAAATACGTACAAGGGAATACTGAACATATGAGATCCAAAGTTGAATTGCCAAATAATTACAATTTAGCCTTAAGACATAAATCGAAGGTTATTTTTATTTGATTATTATTATTTTTCTTTTAATTTAAATAAAATTAAATAAAAATCAATAATCAAACAATTTATAAAAACTCTTTTGGTGAAAATAGAAATTAGTTTTAACACGAATCATATACCGGTTCTGTCATTTCAGCTCAAAATATAAAAAAGTTGCCTTTCAATATCTTAATTTTTATCTTTAGATCTATAACATTTTTATGTAGGAAGTCACACAAGAAATCATTATCCCAAAAGTTTAAGTAACATATCTATTAGTATGTGTTTATAATATAGACACTACTACTAATAACACTAATATAACATGTCTACATATATTAGTAGTAATGATATGCGATATGTTGAAAATCGAGTCTTTATATTAGATACTCCTAATCTTGCAACCAAAAAAGAAATAACTTATTAATCTTAGTATTATGAAAAATAGAGAAGAAGTTTTAAAGTACAATTCAATATGTCATGATATAAGATATAATAAATCTTATATTTTTTAAGATATAATATATCTTATACTATCTAAGATATAATATATCTTATGTTATTTAATATATATTATTATATCTTTCTTGCAACCAAGAAAGAAATAACTTAACAATTTTAGCATTTTTGAAAACAATGAAGAAGTTTTAAAGAACAAATCAATATATCCTTATACTGCATATAATATGTCAACACATGTTTTGAGAATCCGCCCAAAGTTATAAGTTCTTTTATACCACAAGTCATACAAAAATAATTAGTAATAATATTCTTAAAGTCAGTGATGAACTTATGAATGACAAATCAATATACTTTACATACAATCTATAGAACTAACTAACTGTTGTCAAATCTCATACCAAATTACAATTTAACTCAAACATTTTTATTTTGCAGTAGTAAAATTTTATTAGTCAAACAGAAAACGCTTTTACATACCAAAAAATATATGTTTGCCCTTAACATTATTTTTATTCTTTATTATACTCCTGAATTACCACTAATAACAGAGACAAATATACTAGCATATTACTATATTTTCATATTATAAATATAAACCCATCGCTTAACAGAAGCAAACTTTTTTTATCAGACTACAAAAGGATTATAATTCTCAATTGGTTTAAAGGTACTGAACTTTTTAAAGCATTATTTCAAGGTGCATGTGCTTTAGTTTAATGTATTTTGTATTTAAAATTGTAAAGTCCTGAACATATGCGATACGTTTTTTCAATTTAATAATGCTGTTTATAGTAAATTTCATGTATTATAAGAAGACAGTTTATTTAAGTAAATTATAAATATATATTGGTTTGAAATAAAATTGATTGTATAAATTAAATTGTTTTCCAACTAATTTTAAACCATTTATTTATTTGAATTTCAGGTCTAAAAAGATTGGTACAATAAGATATTCATATCGTAGTATTTATTTTCAATCCAAAATTCTCCACAGTTAGCAAAATAAGACTATTTGAAATTTGTTTTTTTTTTGTTTTCTATAATTACTATAGGACAAAGGTTTTTGAAGTCATAAATAAAGTCCGAAATCAGAAAGGATAAGAATATTCATAAAAAATTTTTAGAGATTGCAAGAATCAAGTGTTGAACTCATCCCCAGCAAAATTAAAGATCAAAATCAACGTTTATTAGCCAACCCACCCAAAACCGCACTGGGCTTGCTTGTTCGAAGTTGGAGTATGCTATGAAAATTCATTCATAAATTCACTTCCTGTGTTATATTTTATCTGCACATAATCCAACTCAAAATAAGTTGTTTCTTAGATAGACAATTTTAATTTTGCATTTATAGTATATTTTATATTACCTAATTATTAAATTGAAATCTAACATCCATTTTGACGAAAGAAATTTCATTTTTAATATATATAAACTTATATTTTCAATAGAGAACAATATTTCATAAATTTATAAGAAGGAAAAAAATTTTAACACCAGAAAGAATTTTAATTCTCATTAACTAAAACTTAGTTTTGCATTATATGCCACTAAAAACCTCTGCTCTAATCAGCTTTGCGCAGAGGCGATATCGTGACCAGTGAAGTTCTACTGAGGTGCGATTATTGCTGGTTGAAAACTTTAACCAATACTCCGCTGTATTGGACGTGTTCCACGTCCCCTGCAGCAATTTTTGGACACCCGTAAGGGTTAAATTTTATACATTCACAATATTGGAAGCATTAGAATTTGATAAACATTATAGTTAATAATTTTATAGGTTAGAATTACTATAATATTATAAATAAAATGATTCTTAGCGTCCATCTTGACGAAAGAAATTTCATTCTTTCATATATATATTAAATATAAAATTATGGTTTGAATAGAGAACAATTCTTCATATATTTATTAAGACATAAGTTTTAGTACCAAAAAGCGTTGTAATTCTCATTAACTAAAACTTGTTTCTGAGTTATATACAGCTGCAAAACTGTCCTTAAATTAGCTTTGCGCGGTGGCGATATCGTGACCAATGAAGTTCTACTGAGGTGCGATTATTGCTGGTTGAAAACTCAAACCAATACTCCGCTGCATTGGACGTATTTCACGTCCCCTACAGCAATTTTGGAAACCCGTGAGGGTTGAAATTTATACATTCACAATATTTGTAGCGATATAGTTTAATAAACAGTGTAGATTAAATTTGAATAGAGTCGTATTTTGGACAATAGTAAATTACAGCAATAAAGTTTTATTATTTAATAATTAATAGAATTTTTGGCTGTTTGGAGTATTGCTAAATAGTGGTCTCCCAATTATTTCTTATTTTAAATTATTCATTAATAATTTTTTTTAAAACCTCAGGGACCAATGGGTGGATTCGTGCCCTGCCAAATTTGAAGTTCGGAGTCAGTTATCATAAACCGTATTTGACTTATATGTTGAATCTTGCAGTTGTGTTAACTTGCTATGAAAGTTCATTAAGAAATTCACTTGCTGTTATATATTAGAACGAAATCATAAACCAATTATAGAATAAACGAATGAATTCATTTTAGTTATTTGTAATTATTAAATTTCAACAGTATTCTTTTAACTAAATTAATTATAATATTAAGATTTAAAAATCTTAATATCTATCATAAAAATATAAAAATGGAATCTATCCCTGGACCTACCAGAATAAATCTTTTACAATTATTATAATCAATATTTTTATAAGTTTTTTGAATAGTGTTATAGAAGTAATTCTTATTAACTATTATTTTCATTACTAACTATTTTTCTTTTTATTTTCAGGTGAGTTTTACAAAATTCAATAAATAATTTATGCTATATGTAAGTAAAAAGCGAAAAAATGTTTAAAGTTTAAAACAATTGCATCCAAATTTAGCAGATAACTATTAGCATTTTAAAAAACTGCATCAGTTGCACTTTATGACGACATTAAGAACAAATTTAAGAACGTATAAATTCTTTTTAAAACCTTTCTTTCGAATTATGACGAAATTAAGAACAAATTTAAGAACGTATAAATTCTTTTTAAAACCTATTCTTACATTACGTACCTAATAAATAATATTTTTAACTTGCGGGCACTGAGCGCCATATATAGACCCTTGAAATAATTCTAAGTGATTAAAATGAATCAAATCAAAAATAAATCTTGAAAAAGAGAAATCGAATGCATTCAATCCAATTCCAATAACTGAAAAAAAACGTGATAATAGACCAAAGTTACCGATGTTGTACTTCATATCTGAGCATAACCAAATAATGAATTTTCTCATAATTAAGATTTAATTAGGCGATAACCTTTACAAAAGAGCCTATGAAATCATAACGAATTTTCTTATTTTTCTTATGAACTTTTCCAGCTAGCTTTGCTTTTAGGAAATTTCCAATAAAAACATTTCTTTTTTTTTTTTTCATAATATTGACGCCTACCGCAGTTGCATCTTCGTTTGCTAAAACTGCCTGCTGCGTTTATTGCTGCTAATGGTGGCTTAATATATGTAATACAAGCGACTTGCAGTCAGGCTAACTAATAACTTTGCTACAATAATAACGGTATAGACTCAGTCAGAGGTGAGCTATCAGTTCAAAACACAGATAACTGCAACAAATTATGGAAAAAAAAAATTAAATAAAATTCATGAAAAAAAATTCAATCGAAGAAAAAAAAAACGATTATAAAATGCAATGCTGCAGTTGAGTAGAAACATTTTTTTTTTTCAGTTACAGCTGCATTTGTTGCAACAACAGTTGCAGTTGCTACCTTAATCATTATTATGGCTATTGTTGTTGGATTGGCTTTATACAGCTGAGAGTACTTTCACTTGGTACACCATGCGTTTGCGCATCTCATATTGTTGCACGGTATTGTTGCATGCAACTTGCGCTATTGTCAGCCAACTGCTGTTGCTGCTGCTGCAGTGGAACATAACTTACATTAGAAATATTTTTTTACATATACATCACTTCTATATACACATATTTATATGTATATTTATTTTATACAATAACTTTTTATCCGAGTAGCGCACATGCGCAGCATAATTTAATCATTGTAAACGTACTGAGTTTTTGTAAAGATACTTTTGTCGTGTGCAACGGTCGGTGCGTGCAATTGTGGATTCGCATCACATTTACCATTTTACGTGTCTAGGATTACTTTATTTCACTTTTTTTTTTCTCTAATGCACAATATCTTCTGCTCGTTGTTTATTTAAACAATTTTGTTAGTTTGTTGGTTTGTTGCTGTTTTGGTCATAAAATTGTTGCAAAATTTTCAAAGATCCGAAGCCGACATTTTTTATTTGACTTATTTGAAGATTTTATATCAAAAAGTAACTGTGGGAATTTAAATTTCTAATTATATAAAAAAGAAAACTGACTCATATATTTTAGGTATGCAATGAGTGTATACACTATTTAATTATATACAGTTGGAAATTTAAACTAATTTATTGTAGTTTATTTATACAAGATAATCTACAAGATATGTCAAGTGAGTAAATTTTATTATAAATTCTTAGTATCACTAACTTATACATATAGTAAAAGTAGATAATTTGTAGTAGATTATAATTTGGTTTTCTTGAAGTTTTCTTAGACATTTATAACTCAGAAAACCTTTTTAAATTATAGCTACAAATCGGAATATTTTCCATTCCAATGCAATTATGTTAATAGCAACAAGTATATATCGCTTCTGGCTCCGGTAAATATATCTGCCTTTTTCGATTTACTGGCTATATAAAAAGTATTCAAATGGAAAAAATAGTTCTTTGTCATGATTCAAATCATTTCATTTAAAAAAAAGAAAAATATTTAAAAAATTTATTAATTAAATAAGTTATTGAACTTATTAACTATATTATCTATTATGTTTATAAATAAAAGCCTTCCTTAGAAGTTTTAACTTTTATGGTTCTTAAGGTTTTAACTACTGAAGAGAAATGTGTATGAAATGCTAAGAAAATTTATAATGACAAAATATTTGTTTTAGTTTCGCCTGACTTTTGTCACGACAATACGAATTTTCGTTTGCGATTCAGTTTTAATTCAAAGCTCTGCTTCAAACAATCTCCTTAATGATAAAATCGGTTTTATGATAATCTGTATCTTTTTTTACCAATCATGTACATGTAAGCAACACCCAATGCAACAAAATCGGAGTTTTGTCATATGCACAAGGCTTGAGTGTCCTTATATGCATCAAGCCTCGAGTGTCCTTATGTGAATTAAAACTGGAGTGTGCTCATATACATCAAGGCTCGAGTGTCCTCACATGCATCAAGCGTCGAGCTCTTAATTTTGATATAGAGAAGTGTTACTTTAATATTGCTGGACATTATTTCTCGTATTATGTTATATTGAACTTAAGCTGGTTCTCTTCCCATCTTTAAACTTAACAACAGTAGCCCATTGTTTATAGTGGTCTATCTTCAACGAATATAACCATCACACTGTCATCTGACATTACAGTTAAATACGTTGATACTGATAGATATCTTCACTATATTTCTCCACTTGTCACCTTATTGAACTATATGAAAACAAAAGAAAAGAAAACGTTTTAGAATTTTTATGCAATCTTTTTGAACTCAGTCATTATTGTTAAAATTTCCACTAAGTACATAATAAATAGCATGTTAATTAAATTATATAAACATAACCTTTTTAAGATTCTTCTGAAAACTTTAATATATATATAAAATGTAATACATATTTTATTATTAAATTTATTTATATTTTATGTAATATATTATGATATAAATAATTTTTTAATATATTTTTGAATTAATATTATTTAAAATTAAGACGTTCAGAGAAATGTAATAAAATAAAAATGAAAAATACTTTTTCCCTTAAAAAACTCTTATTTTTCTTTCTAACATTAAACATGAATACAAAAACTTTTAAATATTTCTTCGTAATTGCTTAAATTCTTATTGTTAGTCTCATTAATTTTTCCTATTATTTTATACCACTCAAGTAATGTATACATTTGAATTGAGTTGAGGGTTGGTTAAGTTGAGTAGTGTGCGAAAACAAAAGCCAGTAATGTGAACGCAAATGCTATGAATAGAATTTTCAACAAAAACTATGTTGTCTTGTGTACTATAAGAGTTCGTTCGCATGCATAAAATATTTTAAATAAATAGTGCGATATAATAAACTATTCCTTGTAAATGAATTGTTGAAAATACAGCTTTTCCAGTGAAATTACCAATTTATAATGTAACTATTTATGAAGGATATATCAACAAAGAAGCAAGTTTACTACGTAATGAATATATTTTTATTCTGTTCGTAAATTATTTTAATTTTAATGTATAATGCTGATATGGGTACATTAAAAAACAAACAAATTTAGTTAGTAGTTAGTAGATTCTCAACGTGTGTTTTAAATACTTTAGTATTTATATATAAATAATTTGGTAGATAAATCAAAAAAATATCAAGTTCACTGTAAAATTATAAGCTTTAAAAAATGTAATTTAGTTACTCATATGATGTTGATAGTTTTTGATTTTGTTTATTATATGTTAAGTACTTTTGTTTTCTGCTTAATTGTTATATTTTTACTGTTGCTACTTCTTTAGAAGTGCTGTAGTTGTCATTGTTTTTCTTATTGTACATATATGGGTTGCATCTGTGCGCAAGTATGAATGCAAGTATGGTTTAAATATATATATTAAGTTAATTGACTATTTTTTATTTATTTTCATATATATTAAATTAAACCAAAGTAGTAATGAACAACTATATGCAGTTTTTATTATCGAATTTTATACGCTATACATTGAATAATTTTGATTTTAATTGAACTTTTGCCAAATTCAAATTTATGGTTTAAACTTTAAACATTTTGAAATACTTGAACTAATTTCTTTAGAATATCAATTATGAGATATTTTTAAATTTATAGTAAAACTGTTGACAATAAGTTTGATAAAAAACTCTGCTTTCAGTTTGGAGTCTGCGATGTGTAACCATTATACAATATATTCAACTACTAACTATATCTCTCTTTACCATTATTGTGCATATTAAAGTATCTTTTAATCATAATTTTATATCGATTGTTTTCTTAGTTAATCGTAATTTTTCTTACCCATAATCCATATTGTCAT